GTAGAAAGAGCGATTTGTCTTTCCACTACATTTAAACTCTCAGTACTAGCAATTAATGGCAATTTTTTTTTGCAATTAGCGTATTTTTCTCTTACGTCACTGGATAGTTTTCGATTCCGAGCGATTCAGCTCCATTCTTCTGTAGTTCAATCTTACCTTGAGATTAACCTACTTTTTCTGGTTGCTGTGCAAGTATAGAGGAAAGAGGCTGCTGGCGAATGGCACAGTTTTGTTGCTCCTTTATGGTTTATTGGCGAGGTTACATCCACAATGCTTAGTGAATTTGCTGCTGTGTTTTGGGAGACTTATAAAGCTTCACTGTTTGTTATCCTATTTCAGTTTTTTTTAGTGTTCATGGTAAGAGATTTTTATGTTTCCTTTGCAGTTTGAAATTTGTATGAAAAACGACAGAATCTTTGTGAAAAAAATATGTAAATGTTAGAGTTTTTGTGACAGAGGATTTAATAGGCTTTTGGGATAATCTGATTGATTTATCCTTTTTTTGCACTTTTTTTTTTTGATCTGGATACTGTTTTAAGCGACGTGGAAGAAATCCTGTAAAAGTGGTTTTACTACTTTGTAGCTCTTAGCCATTTATAGATAAGTAAATAAATAAATATAAATATAAATAAATATATATATTTATATATCAGTCATTTTTAAGCCCGCAAATGTATTTATTGGTATTGGTTCGTTTGTTTTTTCATTATAATTTCTCTGACTTATCTCTCGTTTTTTCCTTCCCTTTCAATACGAATGATCCAGCAATTTGCATAGCTGTTAAAAGTGCCCACTTACAACATTCTAAGCTCTTGGTATCCGTTTTTTGGCATATTGTTGTAAGTTGTTCACTGATTGAAAGATGCCATTATTGCATTGATGATTCGTTGGCTACTTTATCTGGGTTGATTTAATATTTCATGTAGGTATTCTACTTTCCTATTTTTCTTTTTGTTCATTGTCCTTCATCGATAACTTAGAAGATAATGTCATTCATTTTTATTTGTTATTTTATTGCTTATGTTAGGTACTAAACGAAGGAAGTTGTAGATATGGTTTAGGTTCTTAAATTATAAGTAACATCAAAAAAAAAAAAAAAAACTGTGTAGATTTCTAACTGTGTTTTGTCTCTTTTGGGACTGCATTTTGCATCGTTAATGGATGATGTAATACATCTATTAACGTTTATCCAAGTTTCTAAGCTTTAGACTGAGTTGTATCAGTATATTTTTTGATTGGTTTTGTTTTATTCTGAGTTTTGCTTAAAAAGTATTATTTGGTAAATACCGTTTTTTGTAGAAAATTAGTTCATAGGCTTTAGGGCATGATGGTATTTGGTCCTGATTCTTAACTGGACATGTTTTTATTTAAAAAAGATAAGAATAGCGCTGTGATTCTTCCATTCTTGTTTAGATTAGCGTACTTTTAAAAAATTTTTGCAGTTGCATCAATTTACAATGACACTGTAATGAAGAAAAGGTTCAGTTCTCAAAGGTGTTACCAGCCGAATATATATAATCTTGGACTATTTTGAAAAGTTATGTCTTCGAGGAATAGGTATTAATTTTTCTCTTAATTACTAGACTTATCTTCTCATTTGCTCCATTGCACAACTTTTTTTCTGCTATTAAGATGGAAGTCGATGGGAACTTAATTTTGAATAATTTTTTGTTTAAGGTAAGCAGTTTGCAGAGTAAAAAATGTGGACTTTTTTGAGACGGTGTGAGAGGCAATGGAAACCTTGAGGTGTTAGAGAGGAAAATGGAGGTTTAGGGCAACAGTTGAACAGCATTGAATTTAAAGTTGATTCTGAAGATGTAGTAAACTGTGAGGATACTTCATTAAGCACGGAGAATTGAATGTTTAAGACTCGCATGGTTTCTGGTGAAGAGTTTAGTAATAATGGTCTCGTGCACGTAGTCTTCGTTTATTGTTACGTCAGTGAAGTTCAGCGCTAATATGGAAGTAAGTACATCCAGCCGAAGACGGGGAAGAGGAATGATGTAACGGAGGAATGATGGGCCAAAAAAATTTGAGCATCACTATTTTGGTCTATTGTTTCGACTGTTTAATTGGTTCCTGAAACTATAAAATTAACCTAATGTTAGCTTTAGTATCCTATGTCTGATTTTTTTTTTCAGCTTGCTTTAGCTGCCACTGATATATGGAATTGAGCTTATGGTTGCTGTAGATATTTGGGGACTGATTTTACCACTTAATTTAGTTGACGTTTCAAAGCCAATTTAAAATTTTATTCAAGGAGAGATGTGGTCACGCTTTTTGACGTTTACTGTGAAGTTGGCGGCTCCCAAAATGGCGTCGTTATTTTGCAGAAGTACCCCGAAGACTTTAATCATGAACCGACTTTAAAATCTATTGCGCAGTTCACTTTTCCTTGCGGTTTTTATGAGTACGTTTTGAGTGTTTTAATTCAGATGTTTTTAACGACATAGATGTATTCTAGTTTTTCTTGGCACTGTACTTTGAAAAAACGTTTTAGTGATGAAGAAGCCGTTCAGTTATTTTCATTCGTTCTTACTGATGAAAGATCTCAATACACGTACGCGTACTGTCGTTATACTCCTCGAAGCAATACGTGTTTATGCATACTCAGGTATTACTTCCTTTCAATATTCGTCCATCTTCACTTACATTCAAAATTAGGGTTTAGAAGTTTTAGTAACTTGAATTCTGTGGTGTTTTTTTTAATTTTAGCGGGTTGCCGTGGGCGAACACTTTCTATGCGATCCTTAATCATTTTTCAGCTGTAATGAATAATAAGTCTGTAAGTTTTTGTGGTTCTTTTAAAGAATATGTTCGTTCTGATTTGAATGAATCAGTTTGTTTAGCTATTAGACAATATATTACTTCATTTTAACTAATTTAAGGCTGAAGAACTTGAGTCACTATTGGTTCATGCTTATCACACTCCTATTCCTGGCCCGGGTGAAACTTTGATGATTGAATCTAGTCTTGGTGTTAATGTAGGTTTTTTCGACAGTTTTTGGAAAATTAGGTACGGTCACAAAGTCGAAATGTATTTGGTAACACTGTACAGATATACTTTTGTATTTTGGTATTTTATGAGTTCTCCAGGTCCTTTAAACTTTGTTCAACAGTTCCATTACTTAGTTTCAAAGCTTTATAGAAACTAGAAGTACTCGTGCCAGATTGCAGTAGGTTGCCTACACTAAGGGAAAACAAATACCTACTGGAATTTTATAATGCATTAAACGAGAAGCAGATGATTGCCTTGTATGCCAGGTAAAACTGTTATATATTTTTTCATTTCTCTAATTGTGAAGGTTTCTAGGTACTGCTTTTCTAGGTAATTTTGTTCTTAAACGGTACTATTTCTAGTTTATTGAAAGAACGAAGGATTTTATTTACGGGTTCCAGACTAGGTCAGCTGACATCATGTGTCTTTGCCGCTGCTATGCTGTTATACCCTATGCACTGGCAGAGTTTATTCATACCAATATTGCCTTCTGACTTGATTGATATGCTTATGTAATTTAACATTGATGTATCCCAGTTTTTTGTAGTCGAACTCTTTAAAGCAATCGGCAAATTTTTTTGGTGCATAATTCTTCTTAGTTTTGTTGAGAACTCATTTTTTAGGGCACCAATGCCGTATCTAATTGGTATCCCGAAGAAAACTTTTCTGGTCAGTCTATTCACTTACATTCTTTAGTTGCTTGAGGCTGAGTAGTTAACATCGTTATTTCTTATGTTTTGTTACATCCTGAATTGTAGGTAATGCTTATTTTGTTTTCGAATTCCCTCTTGATTTTCAGTCAGCGAAAAACTTGGATTTGGGAGAAGTTGTCACTGTGGATTTGGACCAACATACATTTCAAAGCCCACATAACGATATGAACGAACTGCCTTCAGAAGTAGTCCAAGTTTTGCGGAATCAATTTCGTTCTTCAGCTGACATGTTTGTATCCGATGGTCTCGCGCGCTCTTTTCTCAGGTTTAGTAGGAAGATTTTTTTATCGTTTGACCATGTATATTCTGGTGGGTGTACGTGAAAAAATTGTTTTCAGTTCAGGAATAATTCGAGTTTCCGCACTATCAGCTTTTTTAAATGCAATTTTTAAAAGCAGTGATTTTTCAGAGCGAATACATTTTTATTTGGTAATTATCGTGCTGGTTTTCGATTTTCTCCTAGCTGCACATGGGATAGTGAAAAATTTGTGCGAAATCAGCGTCCTTGCCTGCAGCTTTTCCTGAAGTCGTTAATTGGCCAAGATGGGGTGCAGTATTTGGAAAGAGTAAGAGTTTAGTTATACATTTCATGTATTCTTTACTTTCTGTTTCTTGTGCGATCATGAAGGAAGAATTATAACATCGTGTTGTTTATTGATAGTTTTAGTTCTTTGAAGAGCGTATCGCTGCATTCAACGCAGGGGAACCTATCAATGATGAATTTGAAAAGGAAGTTCAGTTAATGGAAAAAAGGCCTTTAAGGAATTCCCCCTTGGTCAGTTTGAATTTGCATTTTTCTTCAATAGCTTTCGTGCAAGTGCTATAGAACTCAGAAGTAAGGCAAACGGTTTCCTTAGTTTTTTATTTACTGTCGTACCATGTTGTTCAGCTAAAATTGAGCACGGTCTCTTATCTAAATTTCTTTAAGCATTTGGAAAAATGTTAAACTCAGTTGTAACGTCAAGGGATCTATGCAATTTTTATTTTTTTTTCTATCTGAAGCGTGCTTGTTTAGCAAGTTTGTCTACTAGCAGGGTTTTGTTACAGACTAGTCCAGAAATCTTCCAGCATGCCGTTTCATCTGTAAGATCTTTTATTTTGAATTTGTTCTAGTTATTAACGTTACCATTTGGTTTTTTGATGTTCAGAATTGTTTTTGTCGACTTTTTTACATCACGCTTTCGTAAGAAATTTTTATGAGTAGTAGTTCTGGACTTTCTTAAAGTTACAAAAGGAGGAGCTGCTGTTTCTATCTGGAAATCTCATAGGCTTTTCTAAAGTAGTTTAGTACTGCCATAGCTTTTCGTGATGTGCTGTTAATTGAATGCTTTTTATGTTGCTTTGTGTTTGTTTTTCATTGTTCTTGTACGTGTCTTGCCAGTCAAACCGTTGAATGACCTAAATCGTACCTGCTTAGGTTCGTGGAAATGCAAACGAGATGATTGGCGCATTGAAGGATAAGGTGCAGTCTATAGCGGTTAGACTTCTGCTTTGCCTGTATTAACCGTCACTACTTTTGTAAATTTCTACTTCACACTCGCCTTTTTTGTAGCTCAAGGAACGGTTTTCCCGATTGAATTCCAAAGATTCTAAAAAGGAAGGATCAAAACCTCACTCAACATTTTTTGATGTCGCTCCTATGTCTTTTGACCCGCAACAATGGGCCATCGAAAATCCTGAGGAGGAGCCACATTCTTCTGTACGTTTTATTAGATTTTCTTTAGAGACTATTTTCCCAGTAATATTTGATTTGAATTTGGAAGTCATATGGAAACTTCTGTTTATTGTCTTCT